CCTGTAATCCCAACACTTTGAGAGGTTCAGGTGGGCAGAACCCTTGGGCCCAGGAGTTGGAGACCAGCCTGGGCAACATGGCAAAACCCTGTCTCTACAAAAAAGACAAAAAATTAACTGGGCATGGTGGTGTGCATCTGCAGTCTCAGATAGTCAGGAGGCTGAGGTGGGAGGATCAACTGATCTCTTGATATCAAGGCTGCAGTGAGCCGTGATCACACCACTGCACTAGTTTGGGTGATGAAGTGAAACCCTGTCTCAAAAATTTAAAAAAAAACCGAAAACTTCAAATCATCCCTCTTCTGTGATGCCCTCCTTGACATCTCCAGCACATACTAATTTTTCTTTTCCTTAGTACCTACAACTTGTACATAACACAGTAAATGGACACAGTAGACATATTTCTGTCTCACGTGTGCCGACCTTTTCTTTCCAAAGAGATTATAAACACCTTGAGGATGGGAACCACATTTTACACTTCTTGAAATCACCTGCCAAATGCTGTGATTTGGTGATTAGCCCGGCTGGGACCAACTTAGGCCCTAGAGTATCTCTATAGTCTGGGAGAATGTAAACAGCTTTGGAGGTACTAAAAATGCAAAAATGCAAAGCAGAGTATGAGTTTCTCAATGTGATAGCATCAAATCAGCCTTGCTATTGGGCCTACACAAACCTTTTCTCTGATTCTAGTAGCCAGCCTTATTCCTGAACATCAAGTCCCTAACAGCCTGTCCCAAGGTCTCTTTTCAGTGACCTTGTTGATACTCCATTTCCTCCAGATTGTGCTCTTTCTCTTGCTAATCCTTTAAAAAAACCCCAAATCAGCTTTGTGTAGTGGCAGTATCACAGCCAATGAGGTTTACCCAAGGTGCAATTATTGTTAATTGAGAACTTTTCCCAATACCCCACCATGACAGGTTGAAATATAGTCGGCATTGGCAATTTTTCGCAGTCTCTACAGGGACTGAATTAAAACAAAAAGAAAAAATAAAATAAAAATCCAAATCTTGCCTCTGAACCTCGAGCTCTGAGGTACAGTCCCTGCCACCCACTATCCTGAGCAGCCCAGTTGGATTTCATGACTGCCCAGACCTCTGCAGTGTGTGGGTTGTGCTCCACCCAGATGCAGTTAATCTCACACCCTCCCTGGCACTGGTTGGCCAGTCTGCTTCTTTGTTCTGCCTCTTTCTGCCAAGATCTTCTGGAAACGCCTGCCTTACTCCTGGGCTCCTGGCTGGTCTCTGCATCCTTTCCATTTTGCCATCAACTGAGCCATCATTCTGAGATTTAAGAAAAAATTTCCTCAATATTAAAGACACAGCAGACAAATACATGTGCAAATACCCATACTCACATGTTCCTTTATCACTGAGAAAATTTTACTACCTTCCTAAATTTATATTCTCTCTTTTCAGGCATTTAGCATTGTCTCTAGGTCTTCCAATGTTATGCTTGGAATTTTCTTTTCTTTTGAGAAAAGATTGATGCATTTTTTTTTTCTTTTTTGAGTTTCAACCTCCAAAAATATTCCAGGAAAAGATAGGGGGAGGCTGGGCTGATTCTTCTTCAACAGGCTTTTGCTGCCAAGGAGGACAGTGGACTTGACCCACATCCAGGCTACCCCCAGCCGGCTTCTCCCCTCCTTTGCTCAGGGGTGAGACAGTAGGGGTGGCAGGGGCAGCTGGGAGGGAGGGGCCAGGGCAGTGATGCTTTGGGATAAGAAGTTGAGCTGGGGGAAGGGGAAGGAGCTGCCCATGTACAGTTATCATTGCTCAGTGACAGAGCCTTAAAGCTTGGCAAGGGCTGAAGGTACCACACGGGTGTGGGTGAGGCAGGCTAAGTGGGATGGCTGCAGCCAAGGAGCTGGGGGAGAGCAGGACTTGGGGCTGGCCCTCTCCCCTCTAACTGATGATCTGCCAAGGTTGTCTGTAGCCTGTCATCCCGGCCTGGGAGGCCCCTCTGTTGCTGCCCATCTGAAGGCCAATGGCATGTGTTCCCTCCTGCAGCTGGCTCTCTGTGAATTCTCTCTTATGCTCCTGCACTTTCTTCATAAGCCAGTTGGGATCTCCACAGTAGTGTCCATCATTCTTGGTCACTGCCAAGCTGCCCAAAGTCTTCAGGGTCCTCTGCACTGCTGCCATGTCTTTGCCTTCGAAGAGGTCAACAGTCTGGAACATGTTAGTCTTGGTGACCCCATAGTTCTCAGCTGCCTTCAGGAACTCGGCCACCTGCTCCATCTGCTTGAAGACTCCGGAGGGCAGGTTCTCAGGCACCTTCACAGACTTGGAGCCATCAGGGCACAGGCTATTCACCAGCTTGCTCAGAATCACGCCGTTCTTTAGCCAGACCTGGGAGCACAGGCGCCCACAGTCTGGGCGGCCCACATCAGGACCACACTGCACTGTGATCCACTCCACCAGCTGCTCCTCCAGCTCCTTGTCATACTTATTCTCGATTTTGGACTGCACTTTGCGGCTCATGCCATAGGAAGGACCCTTGTTGGCCATGTCTGGGGAGAGAGGGCTTCCTTGGGGCTTGCAGGAAGGAGTGAAGACTTGTGCCTGGGCTTGGACAGACAGGACTGGACTGTCTTTAAATAAAAGAATTTTCTTTATTTTAAATAAAGGGGAATTTTCTTTGAATAAAAGTGGCTCTTAGAGGACATTTACTCCAACCTTCTTATTTTACTCCCAGTCTCTACTACCCTATGCATCTATTTGGAAGCTAATGGTGCAGGATTTTTGCTAATGATGCCTTTATTAAGAAATTCTCTTTGTCTGTTAGTAAATTACCACGATCCTAGAAGATTTTATAGAAAGTCCCAGCTTACATTACAAAGGATCCTCATCAGGTATGAGCGAAAAAAAAAAAAAGAAAGAAAGAAGTCTCAACTTAGTAATCAGTTACCATCAAAATACATTTTTCTATTATTAAGGTAAGACAATTTCCTTCTCAGCCCCAGAAGGGAGGCAAATGCGCGTACACACACACACACACACACACACACACACACACACACACTCTTTCTCTCTCTCACAATGTGATCAGCCAGATCTCTGTCTGGAACAATCAAAATACCTCCCAGCTGGAATGACAGCATCATTTTATTGACGCTGAAATAGGAGGGTGATAAAGCAAGTCTCAGCAGGCATAGCAGAAGTGCACTGCTTTTATGATTTATATTTCAAAAATGGTGCCATGAGACCAAAAATGCAAAGCAGAGCTTATTATGTGCTAGCAAAAATGGAGTGAAGGGCAGTCACCTCAGTTGTACCTTTTAAGCTCTAAAGGAAGCAACACCACTACCAATTTTTCCTCCTCACCCTGAGGTTGCAATAGACAATTGGATTTTCCTACAGCCATCACTTCATTGTTCTCTATACTGTGAGTGGGCTAAGAAAATGACGTTATTTCCTGTGTGACGATCTTGCTAGAGCTTTGGAGGTACCAAGGAGAACTTCAAAGAAACAGAATCACTAGGACAGTCATCCTTCAGCCCTGGTTGGGGGTGGACTGGGGAGGGATTGCTTCCAGGACCCCAGGATACCAAAATCTGGGAGATGCTCAAGTCCCTGATATAAAATGGTGTAGTACTTGCATATAACCTATGCACATCCTGCCATACTTTAAATCATCTTTAGATTATTTATGATACTAATACAATGTAAATGCTATGTAAATATTTGTTACACTGTATTACTTTTATTATTTTTATTGTGTTTTTTCGAGTGTTTTCATTTTTATTTTTTTATTTTATTTTTTAAAAATATATATTTAAACATTTCTAATTAATTCTTTTTATTTTTTTTTAAAGATGGGGTTTCACCATGTTGGTCAGGCTGGTCTTGAACTCCCAACCTCAGGTGATCCGCTTGCCTTGGCCTCCAAAGTGCTTGAATTACAGGCGTGAGCCACCACACCTGGCCTTTTGGGTGTTTTTGATGCTCAGTTGGCTGAGTCTGTGGATGCAGAACCTGCGGATATAGAGGGTCAACTTTATTGTCCTCCCTAGCTCCACTTCTTTATGAGGGGCTGTTGTTGCCTCCTGCAATAGACTGAATGTCTGTCCTCCCAAACTTATATATCGAAACCTAATTCTCTACATGAATGTATTTGGAGATGGGACTTTGGGAGGTGATGAGATGTAGCCCTCATGTATGGAATTAGTGCCCTTATAAAAGAGATCTCAGAGAGGTCCTTTGACCCTTCTGCCACATGAAGACAGCCATCTATGAACCAGGAAATGCTCTCACCGGACACAAAATCTGCTGGCACCTTGGTTTTGGACTTCCCAGCCACCTGAACTGTGAGAAATACATTTATGTGGTTTATAAGCAATTCAGTGTATGTTATTCTGTTATGGCAGCCCAAATAAACAACATGGCCACACTTTCCAAACCCAGAATCCACAGGGTATGTGTGTTGCTTCTCTCTCTGCTTTGCTTGGGTAGAAAAGAACTCTCCCCTCTATAGGGAACCCGTGGGAATCCTCTCTGCCTGGAGGTTTCCAGCTGCTTGCTTTCGACTTTAACTTCTCTTCTCTCGTAAGTAAGGAAAACAATACTGGGTAAACATTTTCTAAGATATACAGCCTTAAGTCAGTGCCACTGGAAGAAAATAGACTAGAAATCAGAAAAGATGGACTTGATTCCTGTGATCTCAGTCAGATCTTCGACGTCAAGGTACCACAAACTCTCCTTCTTCAAAATGCAGGCACTGTTCGTCAGCTCACGTCATCCGAGGGCACTTACAGTACCTTGAGTAAGAAGTACTGCCTTCTATAAACATCTCAGCTTCTGGAGACTTATTTCTGGACATTCCTAATGAGTCAGTGAAAAACCCCAAATGATCTATGTATCAGTTTCTGTTTTACACTTTCAGTTTATACAATCAATGAGAAAAGGGCTAAGCTCAATTTGCTGGAAGTTGACAATCCATTTTTTTTTCCTGGCAACTTTAAGACAATCCATTTTTATTTTGAAATCATTGTTGGTAAATTTTGTACCAAAGGAGAGGCTTACAGCAAGAGAGCAGAAATGAAAGCAGAAATTAGAAAGCTTATCCAGTCTCAATTTCCACGACTCTAAAAACATTGATCAATCAACAATGCAGCTCATCCAGGAAAAGCAAAACGCTTTGTGGTAGGCAGAATTCTAAGTTGGCCCCTAAGGTTTCCTGCCCCTGCAATCTGTGAGCCTTCTCCTACTTAATCAAACACTAACCTGGGTTCTGCTATGAAGGGATTTTGCGGATATAATTAAGGTACCAAGATAGGGAGATTGTCTGGGTGGGCTTGATCAAATCATGCGATCCCTTTAAAACTGAGTCTGGAGGTCAAAGACAGAAAAAGTCAAAGAGGTTTGAAGCGTGAGAAGAATTCAACAAAAGGGAGATTCTCCGTTGCTGGCTTTGAAGATAAAAGGAGCAGGTGGTAAGAAATGTGGCAGTTTCTAGGAACTGAAAGTGGCCCCTGGCTGACAGCCAACCAGGAAACAGGGGCCTCAGTGCCCCTAACCGCAAGAAACTGAAGCTGTGACAACCAAAATGAGCTTCGACAAGGCCCTTGAGCTCCAGATAAGAACACTGCCCACCTGACATCTTGATTTAGCTCTGTGAGAAGATGAGTGGAATCATGCCCTTCTCAGTTTTGGGGGAAAAGCTGTAAAGTAACACGTGGGGAGTTGTTTTAAGGGGATAAATTTGTGATGATTTTGTATGCAGCATAGAACTAAAATCCATGCTTTCTGAATGGTTTTAAAGCTTCTTAGCCTAACCCTAAGACCAAAACCCAACCTCCTTCAAAGAGAAACCTGCCAACCACTGTGAACCAAATCTATCAGACAAGCCTCTTGTAACTCAAAGTATGACCCATGGCCCGACAACATACATGTAACATAAGAAATGCAGCGTCTCAGGCCCCATCTCGATCTACGGAATCAAAATCTTCATTTTAACAAATCACCT